TGAAATAAAGGGTAACTAGATTGAAAAGCAAGAAGTAAAAGTATCTCTATTTGCAGATGACATGATCTTATATATATAGAAAATCCTAAGGAATCCACTAAAAATACTATTAGAACTATTAAGTGAGTTCATCAAGGTTTCAGAATACAAGATTAACATACAAAAATCAGTTCCATTTTTGTTTACTTGCAATGAAAAATCTAAAAGTAAAATTAAGACAGTAATTTTATTTATAGTAACATCACAAAGAATAAAATATTTAGGAATAAATTCAACAAAAAAAGTACAAAACTTACACTCTGAGAACTCTAAAACACTACTAAAAGGAATGAAGGAAACATAAATAAATGGAAAAACATCACATGTTCACAGAAGATTTAATATTGTTAAAATGGCAATACTCCCCAAACTAATCTACAGATTTAATGTAATCTCTATCAAAATTTCACTATTTGGCATTTGATCCTAAAATTGCTATTGAAATGTAAGGGTCCCAGAAGAGAATGAATATGATTACAGTAGCTGATTAGCAGAGAGGCCACAGGCAAACAGTCATCTTTCCCTTATCTACTAAAATCTACTAAACCTTGTCCCTATGCGTTTTTTTTTTTTTTTTTTTTTTTTTTTTGGTCTATGTGAGGAAAAAAACTATCCATGTCACTCACCAATCAGTCTGTATGCAATGGTGTCACCAAACAGCATTCTTCTCTCTCCCTTGCCTTTCATTCTCTACCTTGTTCCACTCTCAGGTACGATTTCTATGGATGTAATACCTTCTGATCCCCACATACAGCATCTTGCCTAGTGCTGCTATTAGATCTGGTTCGTTTTAACAGAGCATACCCTTTCACTGCCGTATGTCAAATATGAGTCTTGTCCAAGCCTCACTGACCCCTCCAATAAGCCATCTCAATCTCCGTGTTTAAAACATTGCAAACAAATGGACAGGCCCTAAAATTTAGATAATAAAAGAAAACCAAGAATTCCATTAAATCTGCAGCTGCATTCAAACGCAACCACACCCATGCTTCGCTTAGAGTTTGGGAAATTCTCTCACTTCTTTCAACTTTGCTTTGGCTTCTTTGCCTCTTTCTTTTCTTTTCTTTTCTTTTTTTCTCTTTTTTTTTCTCTTCAGAAGGAGTCTGGCTCTGTCATCCAGGCTGAAGTGCAGTGGTGCAATCTAGGCTCACTGCAACCTCCGCCTCTGGGGTTCAAGCTATTCTCCTGCCTCAGCCTCCTGAGTAACTGGGATTACAGGTGCACGCCACCACTCCCAGCTGCTAGTTTTTGTATTTGTAGTAGAGACAGGGTTTCACCATGTTGGTCAGCCTGGTCTCGAACTCCTGACCTTGTGATCTGCCTGCCTCGGCTTTCCAAAGTGCTGGGATTACAGGCCTGAGCCACCGCACCCAGCCTTCTTTGTCTTTTCTGATGTTCAGAAGCTTTTAAAAAATACCAATTCCTTCACTAAGCACTGAATTTGTGATGGGTCAACCTGCATTTTAATATCAGTTGCCTCATCAGTTTAATTGTGGTGAGCATTACTGCTCTGTTTACTTCATCAGTTTTTGAGGATCAAAAGAAATAATATGTGAATGTGGGGTTTTTTCATTGTAATGCTCTACATAAACATAAAATCTTATTTCATACTCAAATAAGTAAGGTATACATTTTCATTCATAAGTTTTTTTTAAAAGATGATTTGCAGTACAGTATGTTCACACTTACACATAGGCAGATTAATATTTATTTAGGGACTTTTACATCAGACTTGTTCAATAAATAACTACAGAATTGCAGCTATTCTTCAATGACCAACATTTTTTAACAGGGTACAGTGTTTAACTAGGGACAAAGCTTAAAATCTAAGTAGCCCCTGAAGATATAAAACATTGAGTTAAATTCATACCAAGGGTTAGGGACCTTTTGCTAAACAATGTATCGTTAGGCAAGAACAATTATTAGATTTCAGGCTTGGAGTGATGCAGTGTAGGATGGGAGTGCATCATTCTTACCAAGATGGTAATCTTTCCAAAGCTAACTCTTCTACAGTGACATAATTGAATTGTAAATTCTTCTCAAAAAATAGTTATCAACTTGTATACATCCCAAAACATCATAAGAAAATTTTTTAAGTAAATAAAGTATGAAAAAATACATTCTACACTTCTGAAACACTAAGAGTTTACATCTATAAGGAAAAGACAAATACCCTAACTGAAAAACAAATGTAGAACATGATCAGGCAGTTCTCTCAAGAAATATGTGACCAGTAACAATGAACGAAATATTAAATATCTTTGGAAGTTATTTCAGAGAAATGCAAATTAAGACATATTGTCACCTATCAGATTAACAACAATTATAACATATTTAATACTGGTAAGAATTTATGGACTGGAAACTGCGGTCAAAAAATGTAAAATTGATATATCCTTCCCAAAGGATAGTTGAACAATATGTATGAAATGCCTTGTAAACATTTATTTTTTAATCCAATGACCCCAACTCTAGCACTCCTGAGGAAGTACAGATGGTTCCCACCTTATGGTTCAACTTGTTTCAACTTTATCATGATGTGAAAGCAATATACATTCAGTAGAAACTGTACCTAGAGAGTACCCATATAATCATTCTGTTTTTCACTTTCAGCACAGTATTCAATAAAGTTCTTGAGATATCCAACACTTTTGTATAAAATAGGCTTTGCATTAGATGATTTTGCCCAACTGTTAATGTAAGTGTTCTGAGCATGTTTAAGGTAGGCGAGGCTAAGCTAGGATGTTCAGTAGGTTAGGTCAATTAAATGCATATTTGACTTACAATATTTTCAACCTGCAATGGGTTTATTGGGATGTAAACCCATCATAAGTCAAAGAGGATCTGTATTCAAAAGGTGCATATGGAGTTTTGGTCAAGGAGGATCATTGCAGGATTATTTTGGTCATAAATTGAAAAGCTAAAATGGAAAAACAATAAAGCTAATTATTGGAATGAAATGTTCTGTAGCCCTTGAATATCATTTTATTGGAGAATATAAATAAGGGAAAGAGCTCGTGGTACATTGCTAATTTTAAAAAGCATATTACAAAATCGATTATACAATATATTTCCATTTATATAAAAAGTATGAAAGGATATAAACAAAGTTGTGGTAATATCTGGCTAATGGAATTACAGGTAATTTTAAAATCTCCCTTGTGCTCTTTTATAGTTTATTTTCAAATTTTCAATAGTAAACACGCATTGCTTTTGTAAGAAGTAGCAAGAAATTTTCCAGAAAACAAAAACATATTTTTTTCACATATACACAAAAATGACTAGCCTCAGAGACCTTGGGGTTTTTTTGAGCAGTTTGTTCCGAGTGTTATTTGCTTCCAAACCCAATACTATTTTCAACTGCTTATTAGTTTACAAGTCCTGCAATGGAAGGCTCACCTTTTATTTGCCAAGGACACCAAGTGAGGCCAGATGGCTTGCCTGCTGGGACAATTGTTCTCAACCTGGCTACCTATTGGAATTGCCTTGGTGCTTTAAAAATACGCATGCTCAGGCTTTACCACCTGGAGATCCTTTTTCTGCAACTTTAGAATAAATAGAACTTGATAATCTGGTGTGTGTGTGTGTGTGTGTGTGATATTTTTCTAAAATTCATTGTCATTTGAGATTTTCCTAAAATTTGTGTTGTACCATAGGCCTTAGGTTTTAATTTTTAAACAGTTTTATTTTGTTTTATTTTGTTTTATTTGAGTTGCTCTATTTGTACAACTTTAGTTGGCCCAACCAGATTGTAACTCCCACTACAAAGACCAGGTAAAACTGCTTTAAAAAGGCAAACAATGTATTTTACTATCTTAAATTAGGAATGGGTTTAGCAGATTACTGACTTCTGTAGGTAATTGTCACCAGAAAATAGGATTGCAGATATATTCATTATTCTAAAATATAATTATTCTTCTTTGAAGATTTTTTCTTCTGTTTCATAAATAACTATAACAACCCATCTATACATTTAGTTATCTAACCATACAATGTATTTGGGAGGATAAATACAGAATTAGCATTGCTCATTGGGAACCTTTCATTTTATATGTATACTTAACCAAGAGTTTACAGTGGTTTGGCCAAGGTGAGCATGTTTATAACTGCCTTAGAACATTTTAAACCAAAGCTATTTTTACGCTATTACATGATTGAAACAGTAGAACCTTTACTGTAAATTTATTGGCACCCTGAATAACATCCAGAACTCTTTTCTGCAGAAAAGCTCAGCCTTGCTAAGGAGTCCTTATTTAAGAGAGGAGGTGGGATGACCTTCTACCTAGCCATGTTCTCCTGACAGTAATAGTCCTTAGCTTCAACAAAAGAATATTAATCCTATCCTTAGGAATGATAACTAAGACATAAGGCTTCATAGACAACCAACTATATAAACGGACTTCAAAAAGTTCATGGAAAAATGGAATGAAAAGATAAAGTTAAAAATATAAATTTTATTTCTCAAAATAAGCTCCATGAAGGTCAAGATACTTTTGTAAGCAATGATACCAGCCAGTTAGTCCACCCTTAGAGAACCAAGGATCCTTGGAATTTAAACACATCAATGCAGTCTTTTTTATATTATTAGCTGAAACAAAAATGGGTGCCCTTTAAAGATTTTTTAAGATGAGTAAACCAAAAGAAGTAAGAAGGAGCCAAATTAGTACCATAAGGTGGGTGCCTATTAATCTCCCATGGAAATGCTCACAAAATTGCCTTTGTTTGATGAGGGGAATGAGTAGGAGCACTGTTGTGGTAAAGAAGCACTCTGGTGAAGCTTTCCTGGGTGTTTTTCTGCTACAGCTTTGGCTTTCTCCAAACACTCTCATAATAAGCAGATGTTATCGTTATTTGACCCTCCAGAAAGCAAACTAGAAAATGCCTTGAGCATCCCAAAAAACTTTCCATGACCTTTGCTCTTAACCAGTCTGCTTTTACTTTGGACCATTTTCCTCTCTTGGTAGCCATTGCTTTGACTGTGCTTTGTCTTCAAGATCATCCTGGTAAAGCCATGCTTCATCTTCTGTTACAGTCCTTTAAATAAATACTTCCAGATCTTGATTCCACTTGTTAAAAATGTCCATTGAAAGCTCTGCTCTTGTCTTCAGGTTATCTAGGCACAATGGTTTTGACACCTATTAAGTGGAAAGTTTGCTCAATTTTAATTTTTTAGTCAGAATAGTGGAAACAGAACCAATTGAGATGTCTGTGGTATTGGCTATTGTTTCTGCAGTTATTAGTTGTTTTCAATTAGGGTACAGAAAAGATTAATTTTTTCCTCACAAATGGATATGTTTTGCCACTGCAGACTTCATCTTCAACATTATCTCACCCCTTCTTAAAATGAGTTGTTTGTAAACTACTGATTTCTCTGGGATATTGTCCTATAAACTTTTTGTTAAGCATCAGTGATTTACTATTCTTCCACTGAAGCTTCACCATAAATTTGATGTTTGTTCTTGCTTCAATTTTAGCAGAATTCATGTTGTTCTGATGGGGTTCTTTTCAAACTGATGTCTTATCCTTCTTAATCCTTCAAACTAGATCCTGTTCAGACATGTTATAACAAGTTAGCACACGTTTATTTTGGCGCAAAGAAGTTTGAAATCCACACATAGTTTTTTTCTTAAATAATATGCATTTTCCATGAACTTTTTAAAGATCCCTCCTATATAGACTGAGATGCACTGCAGGGAGCTGTCACGAAATAGAATCTCAAGTTCACTGCAATTCAATATTTTCTCCAAAAGTTCAGTTACAGAAACAATATTGGATGAAATGGCTTAAACGTTCACACATCTAGACAGCCAAAAATAGATCCCTGGATCAAGACAGACATCTAGAGACATAAATCTTCTCAGAATTCTTTGTGTTAAATCATGATTTAAGGGAATACCAATAGTTTGTTGAGGATTTCTAGAAGGAACAACCTTTGAAAATGTGTTTCTGTGCCTATTATATGGACATTGCTTATCAAATCAGCAAGACAGTTTCCTCAAAATACTTTTAATTGTTTTAATAGCATAATCTAGTAATAAAGACAACACATGCTCATTGAGTAAAATTCAAACAATATAATATAAACTATAAAAATAAAATTAAAACACACCTAAATCACCCCTTCAAAAAAAAAGACTACTAGTACTGCTGCTACAATTACCACTTAGAGATAATTATTGTTAATATTTGGACAAAAATCCTGAGACATAAACGTGACCTTTATTTCACATGTTATTTTCAGTCTAATTTTTTTCACTTAAAATATCTTAATGAATATTTTGCACATTAACCTTCTCAGTGACTATGCATTACTCTATTGTATGAATGTGCCAAAATTTATTTTTAACTTTATTGAGGTATAATTGACAAATAAAAATTGTACATAGGGTACAATATGGTGTTTTGATATATGCATACACTGTCAAATGATGACCACAGCTAAGCTAATGAATATATCCATCACCTCATATAGTCATGAGCTCTACTATGTGCTCTACTATTTGTACCAAAATTTATTAAGCAAATATCCTATCAATGTACTATTAGTTGGTTATAATTTTTCACATTAACATAAATGGTGCTATGTTAAACACATTTGCACGAACATCTTTGTACAATTATATAATTATATCCTTATCACAAATTTCTAAAAGTAGTATTCCTGAACCAAAGAATATATACCTATTGATACATATGGCTAAACTGACTCAAAAACATTATCCCAATGTACGCTGTTCTACTAAAAGTCCTGAGAGTGACCATTCTCTCTACCTACTCCCACCAGTTAGTTTGTCAAGTTTTTTTCACCTCTTTCATACTAATAAGTGAATAAATTTTCAAATGTAGACTGGCCTTTCACATTTCTTTTTGTATTAATTGCCTTTTCATGTCCTTAGTCTATTTTTCTATAGAGAAATTCATCCTTCTCTTAATTATTTATAAAACATCTACAGAGTAGAGCTGACAACACTTTGAGTGCCATAAAAATTGCAAGGGTTTTTGTTGTCCTTGTTGTTATTGCTGTTGTTTGTTTGTTGTATTTAATAGCTTGTTATTTGCTGATTGGAAAAGAAGATGGAAAGCATAATGTGCTACTCACTCTGTAAATTTTCACCTTCTCTCTCAAGACCCAACTTCAATCCCACAGCTTCTCCTAAAGCCTTACCTCCTTTGCCATCCTAATGTGATTTCTCCCTCTGCCTACCTTTCAACTCATTGTCTGTACAATTTGTTTGGCAATTTATCCCATAGTGCCCAATGACATACCTAAGAATTGTCAATTACATGCAAGTCCCATCTGTCCACACCAGCAACCAACTCCTTAACAGGAGTGTACCTTTAACTTTTGTATTCACTCCATTCCTTCAAATAGGTGTTCAATAAACAATAAATGAAGGCTTATTTTTAAAATGAATAGAAGGGAAGGTAAGTGACAAAGGTCACCTCAGATTTTCCAGCCTGGAAATGTGCTTGGCAGAAGCATTCAGCCAGGCAGGTTCTGGAGTTCCGTTTTACTGCTTGCCTCAGCATTCTGATCCTATATAAATCTTATTCCAATGATGTCAACTCCTGAGACAAGTCTATTTTATTTATCAAAAAGGCATCCATATATTCCAGTTTAATCAAAGCAGGCTCAGTTTAAGCTTGCCATAATCATTACCATAACTGTGTAATTATTAAAAGTGCCCCTTCACTCCCAAAAGTTTCAGATGATAAATTATATTCTCATCCTCTTTATTGCTGGCTCTGGTTCCTTATTTATTTCCTAGGCCTAAAATCTACCACAGAATTTAACAGACTTGGTAGATGAAGATCAAATTTTCTAAGTATGATATGAGTTTAGGGTTGTTAATTATGCGTTGTTAATTAAACCTCTTTTCTTGGTTTAATTAACTAAATTTTTATGATAGCCTAACCTCAAAGAATTAAAGGAAACATTCAATGCACAGATAAAGACAGTTGCCATTTATGTGATTTTTTTAGAAGTAGGTCATAAAGTTTATTGTTACTGTACACATTTTCTTCAACTAGATTGAGAACTTTTTGCAGTACCATTAGTCTTACTTTTGTATCCCTTCCTCATCTCACTTAAAACAGTACTCTGTACTCAGTGAGCACGCAACAAATTCTTGTGTGAAATCACTGGGGGCATGGAGATTTTAATTTGCTTTTTGATTAAGGGTGTCCTTCCCCTTGACTCCTACCATGTCATCACAGACATGTGAGGGAATAATATTGATTAGAGTGCTAAATGGGAAGTGGTATCATGAAAACCCAGTTGAATTTTAAGATTCACTTTTATGTCTTTGGCTCAATTGTCCATGGATACAGCTCATCTGAATTAGATGTATCTGAAAATTCAATTACCCCAATGGAAACATCTGGATCCTTTTTTCTTCCTTTAATCCTTTGTCCTAGTGACTCTGCCAGACAGTTCATATCCCTTGTTGATTTGGCAGAAAACATACAAGGGCATAATTAGAAGTGGGAGTTGCTGGTGGAAATGTTACCTTGTCTATTTTTTCAGTAGATTTGGTCACTTTCCTTCTCTATATATTAGAATCACAGATTTTTATCAAAATATAGACCTTAGAAGAAAAGTTACTGTAACTTTATATTTTATAGAGGGAGTAATTTGGAGCCCAGCAAAATGAAATGAGCTGTTCACAGATACATATGTGATGATAGCAGGGCTGCACTACAACCCTTTTCTCCTGATTCCCAATCAGGAGCACTTTTCAGTATAACAGATTCTAGATACTGTTCGAATATTAGCTATTGCCCCATTTCAATTTGTAATACTGGAGTTCAGCTGATTTAACTATAAAAATCTGTTCCTTTAAAATAAATTTCAATGTTATGAGAAACAAGAAAGTTTTTTTTTTGTAAAGTATGATATTTTTAGTAGATACCAAAGGATAAAATTAACTTCCTTTTTGAATAAAATATTCCAGCCAAACTCAGACATGTTTATGTGTGTTTATAAACTAGGAGAGGATCAGAGAAAATAGAATCTGATAGGGGAGATCAGAGCCTAAATCATAAACCATCATGTATATCTCATCTCTGCCCCAGAATCCTTTTCACAGAAAAATAAAAGTTCTGGGAACAAAGAATAAAGGAGAAATAGACATATATTTGGCCTGTGATTTTAGTTTTAACGTAGGAAAAGCAGAGAATGAAATCTTATTATAATTATATCTGTAGGGGACAGAGACAGCCCATTTAGATAAGGCTGAATACCTAGTTTTCTAAACTGAAAAGAAAGGTTTTGATTCTTTGGGCAAGCTGTGACCTCATGCAGTGGAGAGGCTACAAAATACTACTGACCAAGAGGAGCAATTTTTATATGAGCTACCACATCTCTGAGAATACTGAAGAGATATTTAAAAGTCTGTTTAATCCTATTTTGGACATAATTCTTACCTTTTCTTCTCTCAAAAAAAAATGTTCAAAATGGCCCTTTCTGTTTCTAGAACATTTTAGAAAACTGTATGAAAATACATCTGGTTCATGTACAATATTTTTAAGTCTTTATTGATACAACTACTCTTAGGAGTAAGTTGATCTCCTTCCCATCTGCATCTGCCTTAAGGCTCAGATGTCATCTTGAGATTGTGAAGTAGGAACATATGATATAAAGAACATAAAACTAGAGTGAAAGGTGCATGAAACAAAAGCCCCATCCATCCAGTCAGTGGGAGAGGGCAGGCAGAGTGATTGGCGGCAGCGGCAGTTAGGAGGAGAAAGTCAGGAGAGGAAAAAGGAGGTGGGACACATGAGTCCTAGCGTCCTTTCTCCAGCATTTGATCTAGAGGATGTTAGAGAGGGAATATTAGATGAGTGGGCGGGAAGGCTGAAGACAGAGGTGCACCTGCTCTGCTTCCTGTTTGGTTCCCTGGGAGGAATCCACTGAGCATGGTGCGAATCTGTGACAACATGGGGCAGGCCTAGCCGTGTAAAGAGGCCACACAAGTCTGGCCAAAGGAGAGAGCCACCTCTCTAGCTCTCAGGTGGGCAACCCAGAGAAGATTCTACATTCTTCTATGGAGGGAGGGGTGGGGAGGAGGGAAAATGGATGAGCTGAGATCCAGAAAGGCTGCCATAGGGCCTTATCATGGTAAGAGATGAGGGGAACCTGCAAAGAACTTGCAGGGTAAACTACCAAGGCCCAGGAACTAGACAGAGGATACGGACACTCAGTAAAGTCTTCACAAAGAACCAAAGTGGGGACAAGGCAGCAGAGAACAGCCACTTGGCCCTGCCCAAGCTGGGAAATAAGAAGAAAGGAGCATGTGTGTGTTTATAAGACACAGATTTCTTAGTGGACACACGAAAAACACTCATGATATTTGCATCTGAGAGCACAGTAAGTTTAATTTTATAATCACTCAACGTATAGTTATTCAGTATTTGGCAGCATAAAGTTTACCATCTTAAAAAAATGAAGCTAGTCTAAAAGTCCTACCTGTGGAAAAGTCGCAAGGCCATCATCTACTGGTAATTTGCTCAAATTTCAATGAATATGATTCTTAAAATCTGCTGACAATTTAAGAAGAAAGCATCAAACACAATTCATACACTGTGACAAATACCATTACAACTTCTCAATATTTACTTGAAATTCCTCTTGGTGTTCAGCTGTAAACTGAGAGTTTCTTAGGAAGTATTCAGAAGTAAAACAAAGATTTTACTTCTAATTTTTTTGTGTTGTACAAATTTCTTCATCCTGGAGGTCAGTGAGATCAGTGGTTGCAAAAACACATGTATAGGGAAGGTTATGCAAATATTTTGAGATTAAAAACTCCAAAGACTTTTTAACATCTAGGAATTTTAAGGAAAACAAAGGTAAAGAAGTCATATAGTCCAACCTGACATATCCAATAGAAATATAATACAAGTTACATATGTAATTTAAAATTTTCTAGTGTCCACATGTAAAAAGTAAAACAGGTGAAATTTATTTTAATAATATATTTTATTTAATACCATATATTCAAAATATTTATATTCTAACATGTAATCAGTATAAAAAATGATTTTCTCATACCAAGTCTTCAAAACCCATGTGTGTTTTACATTTATAGTATATCTCAATGTGGATACTAAATTTTCATTGGTCATAGTAAAATGTAGTCCTACCAAAACAATAAATTTATCTTAATAGAAAAATGTTACACTACTTCTGTTTCTAAATTTAAAACAATTAGAATTTCAGTTCCTTAGTCACATTAATCACATTTGAAGTCCTCAGTTGCCACATGTGGCCAGTGGCTAGACAGTATAGGTCCCACCTGATAGTAGCAAGGTGCCCAATTAATGTTTATTGAAATTAATGATTGCATAATCTGCCCAAATTCCACAGATTACTGGCTGCCACTTTCATACTTTTCCTTAAATAATTACTTGAGAGGAATTGAATATGGGAGAGGAAAATGAAAAGAGGAGCCAAAGGGTTTGGGACCAAATCATAAGGAGAATTAAGGCACCCTTGATAGAATCAGTGACGCTGAAAAAACAAACAAAAACAAAAAAAACAAAAAACAAAAAAAACCTTGGTTCAGGAGGGAAGATAATAAACATCAGAGCTCTGAAAGTTCCCTCCCTTGAGAAACAAAGCTCCCTGTGATAATAGCACCTACAGAATTTTCCATCAGAACAGCCTGTATCTTTTGGCCCACACCATTCAATGACTGCCCATAAACCTGTCCTATCTGTTCAAAAATCAGAGTCAAAACTCAGCTGTGCTGTGGTTCTGTTAGCCTGAGCCGTGAATCTTAAGATGTTGGTCTGAATTTTTACACATACCTGTTCTCTCATAGCTTCTCTGAACCCTAAGTTTTAACTTGTGTGTACTCTACTTTTACTGGTGCCCTCCTGCCACCCTTGACTGTGAGCTCTGTCTCTGCCCCTGCTCCAATGTATGCCTTGGAGCCTTGTAATATCCAGCCCAGTCCATCTACTTGGACTTCAGATCACACCTGTATCACTAGTTCTCCTGGATACCCTAGCATCTGAGGTAGGCAACCTCTAAGATGGCCCCAAAGAACTGCCTCCTGGGATCCATACCCTGTGTAATCCTTTCTCTTGACTGTCAGCTGGACCTAGCGGCTCATTTCTAACCAACTGAATACAGCAAACATGATAGGACTTAATTTCTGATGTTAGATACCAAGTACTGTGGCTTTTTTCTTGGGCACCTTTTCTCACTCTCTCACTCACTTATTCTGAGGGAGGCTAGCAGCAATGATGCTGTCTACCCTATGGAGATACTCACATGGCAAAAAACTGAGGGAGGTCTCAGCCCAACAATCCCCAAGGATCTGAGTTCTGCCAACAACCACATGAGTGAATGTGGAAGCAATCATGTGCTCTCCTCCAGTCAAGCCTTCAGATGAGACTTCAGCTCCGCTCAACACACTGATTGCAGCCTTGTGAGTGAACTCCCTTGAGGAAGAGGCATCTACATAAACTGCCTCCAGATTCCAAACTGACAGGAGCTGAGTGTTTTAAGCTATTAAGTTTGGGGGGTAAATTCTTCAGCTGCAATAAATAAAACTAAGACAGCATGAGACATTAATTTTCTTGTAGAAAACTCATGTAAATGATCCTATGAATGTTGAATTGAATTTTGGACATTTAAAAATGATTACAAGATATTCAAAAGAGAATGTCCACATGATATTTGGTAATAACAGACCTGGAGCCTAGGGAAGAGAGAACAATAAATCCTCAGCATCAAGGTTATAAAGAAAGTCGTGACAATATGTCAACTGTCTTGGAAGACTTTGAATGTAAATAAGAAGCATTTGTCAATGAAGGGAATAATTTATTTCTTCCCTCTTAAGTCTCACTTGGTGAAGACTGGGGAGCTCACATGAAACACTTGACCTGTGGCTTAACCTTCCCCGCTTTACCCCACACTGTGATTTGCCTGTGTAATACTTTGCCCTTTTTTCTACTGGGATTTTTTTCTTTTTTGTTGTTGTTTTTTTGTTTTAATCTTTTTGCTATATTATGGGCATTAACCCCTTTTATAAATATATTTTCTGACTTATCTCTTGACTTTCATCTTTATTTATGGCCTCTTTTTCCATTCATATGTTTTTAATAAGTCATTCCTTTTATATATTCAGGCCTTGGCAACATGCTAAGGAAAATGATCCTTGCTTCAAGATTGTAAAAATGTTCTCTCTTTTCCTCCTGCAATTTACATGATACGTATGTCTAAATCCTTAAACTACTTATAATTTATTTTTTACTATAGTGGTAGTTATCTAACCTATCTAAACTGTTATCCAATTGTAATGGTGATATTTGTTATTTAAATTTCTCATTAATTTCATTTGCCATCTGTTATAGTATATGGCCCCTATATATGTGTAGTTTCTCTGTCTTTTATTCCACCCATTGATCTATTTGTCTGTTTCTAGGCAATACTACAATTTTAATTACAGTATATTTAGGGTATGTGCTTATAATTTTTAACACTATTCTCTTATTATTCTTTTTTTCCTGTATAGTTTCTGGGTATTCTTTTACATTTATTTTTCAAGATAAACAATTTGATCAGATTTGCAAGATAAAAAACAACTGGTTGGGAACATTATTAAAATTTTATTAAACTTATGGTTTTACTTGGAGAGAATCTTTGTAATTCTGCATCTTCCTATTCAGGAACATATCATTAGAAAATAAGATGAGATATTGGTGGAAAATAATTGAATTCTGCCTTGGCAGAATCAACCCTTTTTTCCCAAATAAGGAAAAATAATACTTTATTATTAGCTGACACTTTGGCCCTGCACCATATTCAGACTTCTGGTAAGCTCATCTGGACCAAGTGGGGATATCCTCTTTAAAGCTACATCAGTGTGGATGGCCTAGCATCAAAGAAGAATCTGCTCTGCTCATGCCACGTGTCACCAGTCCTCTTGTTCTTTGTTGCACCACCATTCCCAGCTCCCACCACCAACTGATAATAAACCCCAAATATTAATACCAAACCTTGCTATGCCAGTGGGATATGTCACTCCCATCAGCGCTACAGAAAGAGGATCTGGAGAGATACATGGAAAGAGAAGACATATTTTCCAGTCGTTGAAAGTAATATCTGAAGTAAAACCAGCTAAGATAGAAGAGAGAGACCCAGTGAAAGAAAGAGAAGTGGCCAAGCTTGATGGAAAAAAAGAAAATTGGGGCCACTTTATGTTCTCACTGCACATGCAGACAAATAAAAAATTTCCAGTTCTCTCAAAGCTCCACCCTCAGAAAAAGTGACTTAATCAGTCCACGTGAGTCCCACCAACTGGATCAGCATTCCTCTTCGTTAGGTTTCAGGTACAGATGTAATGAAGCGGTTCAGAGAGGGCTCCTATTAGAAGTTGACAAGTATTTTTTTACTTGTCATAAATTACATACATTCAGAACTTTAAACCCTTTAGTGAACCCTTACACTGTTTTTCATGTAAGTGTCACACATCCTTTGTCAGGTTTATTCCTGGGAATATTAATGATTTCATTCTTATAAGAAATTAAATTTTTTAAAGATGCTTTCTAAACAGGTTAATTATTAACAAAAAAAGTAATTATATTTTGCATGTTTATTTTTATCCAACCCCATTGAACTCTCAGTATTTTAATCCTCTGGAATCTTCTTTTTTTTTTTTTCCGAGATGGAGTCTCGCTCTGTTGCCCAGGCTGGAGTGCAGTGGCACAATCTCAGCTCACTGCAAGATCTGCCTCCCGGGTTCACGCCATTCTCCTGCCTCAGCCTCCCGAGTAGCTGGGACTATGGGCGCCCACCACCATGCCTGGCTCATTTTTTGTATTTTTAGTACAGACGGGGTGTCACTGTGTTAGCCAGGATGGTCTCAATCTCCTGACCTTATGATCTGCCCGCCTCAGCCTCCCAAAGTGCTGGGATTACAGGCGTGAGCCACCACACCCGGCCTGGAATCTTCTAAGAATACAATCACTCTCTAGAAAATAAAATAGTAACTTGATCACTTTCTTTCTTTTCATTTATTCCAAAATACATTATGCCCATACAAAAGCACATTATAACACACCTGTACATTTTAAATAATAATATTTTAAAAATAAAATATATTCCTATGTACTCCCCAAGCAAATAGCACACCACCAATTCATTTGTAGCTCTTGTGTGTCCCTTCCAGAAGTAACTACTGCCTTGAATTTTGTAGTAATACTAATGCCCTTGCATTTTAGTGCATGTGTGTGTGTGATTTTGTTTTTTCCTATTTTCAGCTTTATGTAAATTGAATCATACTGTATATATTGTATGTCTTGCTTTTTAAAACACTTTTAAATAACAAATAATTGTGTATGTTTATAGGGTACAATGTAATGTTTTAATCTATATATTCATTATGGAAAGATTCAATCAGGCTAATTAACATATCCATCACCTCACCAATGTATCATTTTTTTGTAATGAGAACATGAAAAATCTATTGTAGCAATTTTGGAATATACATTATTATTAACTGTGGTCACCATGCAGTTCAATAGATCACTAAAACTTATTCCTCCAGTCTAACTGAAACTTTGTACCCTTTAATCAACATCTTCCCATTCCTTATCCTTTCCCCTCCCCCAGCTTCTGGTAACCACCTTTCTATGAGATTGACTTTAGATTCCACATGTAAGTGAAATAAAGCATTTGGCTTTCTGTGCCTGGCTCATTTCAGTTAACATAATGCCCTCCAGTTCCATCCATGTTGTTGCAAATGACAGATTGTCCTTCTTTTTTAAGGCTGTATCATAATCCATTGTGTGTACATACCACATTTTCTTTATCCATTCATGCATTGACAAGCGTTTAGGTTGCTTCCATATTTTGGCTACTGTGAATTATGCCGAAATAAACATAGGAATGCAGATACCTGTTTG